CTTCCAGGAACAGTAATTTCTCACTAGCAGTCAGCATTGTTTCCTGATTTGTACAGTCTCTAAACAACTAAGAATAAATATGAAAACTATAGATCTTTTGCTAAAATAATCTTTTTTCTTAATTTCAGTCCTTCAGAAGCAAGGAAGCAGAACCTGTGTTATCAATTATTACACCAGTATTACCTGCATTCCTATCTAAGTGTTCATTCCACACTCAGTCCTCTGATTTTTTTTTTTAGGGCATTATCAAGCACCAGTGAAATCTAATCCTTAAAAACAAAACCCAAGTTTTCCACATAGGCCCTACAATGTGTTACATTTTGTAAAGAATCTAAGCTACCATTCAGAGAAAAATTGGAATTTTGAGAGTTTGGCTTTTAAAAGGGTTCATAGATAGTTTTTCGACTGTCCTTTCATGCCAACACAGCTACAAATTTTCCCTGTACTTCCTCGTTTCAAACCATTATTCTTCTGCCTGGTCCTTGCAGGTAGAATATCTTCTTAATTTTTCTTTCTTTTCTGAGGAGCTCTGTGGGTTTAAGCAATAGGACTCACCAAAGCAGACTCAGGCCCACCCTGCCTGCATACTAGAGATGGGAATTTGATTTAGCCTCACAGTTCTAATTTAAAAGGAAAAAAAAAAAGGCAAAAAGAAACTCCTTTCTTTAGAAAACGGGTGAGTAAGAATAATACTGTGAGGCCGCCTTTATATCTCACAGATCGGTACAAAAAAAAAAAAAAAGACACAAGACCTTTGTTGTTCTTTGTGTTGGAGTTTGCCTTTAATTTGTAGCATTAGATCTCAAAGCTGATGCACGCTAGAGCCCCAGGAACAGCAGCTGAATGGTTGCAAGGGCTGAAATTCACATTTAGGAACACAAATCTCTCTTACAGGAGCTTGCCATACGCGCTCCCCACAGCTGAAGGCGTATTTTTACGTTTTGTGTGCTGGCTTGTTCCATAGCTGACATATTGGGGACAGCTCAGAGTAGCAAAGTGACAGAGATATAGATGACTGGACTCCTGTGGGTCGCACAGGGATATACCTCCCTTTAAAGAACTGTAAATGCTTCTAATCATTGCCCAACTGCATTAAGTCCAGTCTGCATTTGATACAGATTTGAAAAATGAAATTATTTTGGGGGCCTTAGGGATCAAAGCAAGCAATCTTCAAACATCAGAAAACCTATGAGATTCACTTTGCAGTAATGTGATAGATGGCTTGACTAGACATGCCGTTTCCTATTTTCTACTTTCATTTTTCAGACCAGATTGCACTAAACCACAAAACCATCGTGTGTCCTATGATCGATGTCATTGACCACAATCACTTTGGCTACGAGGCACAGGCGGGGGATGCCATGCGAGGAGCTTTTGACTGGGAAATGTACTACAAAAGGATACCGATTCCTCCAGAGCTCCAGAGAGCTGATCCCAGCGACCCCTTTGAGTAAGTAGAGATAAAGGGGAGAGTGGGAACATGAAGCAGAACAAGCAAAGGAGGTAACTGTAGCAGAAGAATCCAAGCCCAGAAATGTCCATGTAGGCCACTTCATACTAATGAAAGGTAGTAGAAGCAAACAGCTTCTATACAGGTTTAGAAAACCTGAAAACTAGGAAGAACATCAGGGCAACGAGTTGCAGAATTCACAAGCTGTGCCTGGAAACACGAACCTTCACCATCTTTTCTGGCCCAGTGGTTGTACATAAAAGAAACAGGCACATACTTGTAGTTAAGAGAAAGTATTGGCATTGAACAAGGAGTGAATGTGACTACAGTTATTCTGTTTATTCCACAGAGCACTTCCTGAACAGACTTTAGTTTAATAATTTCTTTGCTGGAGATTGATGCAATACATGCATTAATAGCTGAGTCCACATTCTGCCAGCAGATGCTTTGTTTCTTATGACTGGTGATATTGCTACTGTATAAGCACTGCTGTAGCTTAAACACAGGGCTGTAAAACCTGAACAGTGTCAAGCTGATTTGTAAATAATTTTTTATAAGCCAGCCTCCAATCACAGTATTATATAGATCAGCTCATTCACAGGAGTGATCTTCCATGTTTCACAAAAGTAGATCCTATTTTCTTTTCTTTTAATTATTCTCACGTAAGGATCAGCTAGGATTAATCCACATCAGCAGAGAGAGGTCAGACAGACAGGCATGGTTCAGTGTGGCAAAGTCTCTCATGCAGCATGCATGCCAGCAGGGCTGGCAGCAGGACTGGCTCTGATGCTGTCAGTAGTCCTGGCTGAAACTCCACGCTGCAGGTTTTGGCAGTTTAAAAAGTCATCATTTTCCCCTTGCCAGAACAAAACCTGGAAACAATAGCAACAGAAAACCTGTGTCTCTGGCCCAGACTCTGCACTATTTTGAAGTAATGGATCTGATTCCTGCAGAAATTGACCCTTATATCCAGGTATAAGAAGAAGTAGATATAGGGAGAAGTAGGTAATTGCAGCATTCAGTGGGCTTATTTTCATTACTCTGCTTGTTCCTTTTTACTTATCTCCATCTAGGCCCATCAGTCTTCATCTTGTATTGGTGTAAGTGCTGATGAAGTACTTTCTATCATCTGCCAATGTGACCACTCCACAACATAGATGCAGCTAGTGCAATCACATAACACTTCAGAGTTGCTAGAGCCTCCATTGCTCTTCCACAAGTCTTCCTGGTCCTCTGAGTAGTTGTAATTTCTTGCCACTTGCTGAAAGTCACCTAGCACATTGTATAACTTGGTTCAGCGTTCAAAGTCTGTGTATAAGTAAAACTTCTATATTGCCAGTGTAGCTGTGGGGTTGCTTATCAGCCGTATTGCACATTTGCAGTTTGTAGTATACATCTCTCCAAGACAAGAGAGGCCTGAAGAGGAGGCACTTGTAGGAAACTTTCCAGAACAGATGAGGCTTTGTGCAGTACAAAACAGAAGTGGTGGTTTTGCATGAACTGTTGTTACGATCAACATGGCAGGAGTTGATACCCACCTTGCCCTGCCTACATTCATAAGACACAGATAAATGGATTCGCAAGGAACAACATATAGGACAATGCAACCTATAAATCTGTTGCAATCTGAGTAGTCATCTCCGCAGAAAGGTGGAAAGGCTTCCTGGTTCTTATGCAAATCAGTGAGAGTCTTCCTTTGTTTTCCCCATTAGAGGATACCCCTCAGAGCGATGCAGGTGGAAAAGCAGCATTGCATATGGAACCACCATGTCTGTCCCCACACATGGCAGCAGGATTGAAGGGTGGCTGAGCTAGGACAATATCTTTGCTTAAAAGTACCCGCTACCTAGAATGGCAAGAGTATAGAAGTGTTTTGAATAATCAGTATGAATTTTGTTTAGGAGAGGGATTCTTTTCTAATTCAGAGTCAGTACTGCTTTTCTCCTAGGCCTTCTCCGTTGACACCTCAAGCTTTTAATACCTTGCTTACAACAAGTATGGTAAACATCACAAACCATTTTAGTTATCAGTAACTTCATTGACCAAGCAGCTTCTATAGAATTAGAGAGACAGAACAGTTTTCCTTCAGGTACATATACACTAAAACTAGAAATGGCTTCAGCCAGCACCATAATTATTATGTAACTATTTTGTAAGCGATAGGGATTTTTTTTATCTAGGTTAAATATTTTACTATTTGTATCCTAATAGCTTTGTTTCTTGCCAGCAGCATCAGATTTGAGGTGATCCTTAATGAACTGGAAAATTGCCAGCAATTTTAGTAAAACACCAGCAAATAATGGGTACGTGGTCCAAAAACTGCGCTGATGAGTTTTTTCCCCTGACTTAAAATGCCAGCTCAGTATGTACGTTAAGCAGAAAAGGTTGCATCAGCCTAAGTAATAATGTACATAAAACTAGATCAAACTACAGAAGACCTAAGAGCAGTCATGGTATTATCTGAATGATACGTTTGCTTTCCATCTGCACATGATCAAAATACTGCTGCAGCAGACACCAGCAGAGTGTATGCTGTTGATACAACAAACTGAAGTGTTGTCAGGTAGGCTTTTGATGTGACAGTAGCATGGAGCTTACTGAGCTAGTCTTTCTGGAATCAATTTTGCCCTGCTTTTTTTTTAAAAAAAAAAATACTCCACTGTGGTTGGTGTTTGACAGGTACTCTCCTGTTAGATGCCGTCTATCTGGACATAGTCTTTTAGTTCAAAATCCCTCTTGTGATGAATCTAGACATTCTCAGCCATTTGTGGTGTGAGCATGGGCATGATTTATTGTTCATACACCTGCAGTGCCACTCCGACAGCATCTCCATCTTTTGCTGTGACAGAACTTGAAGTTTCATTCCAGATCTCAGCTTTTGCTGATACACACCCACACCCATTCTCAGGCCCTCTGCAGTTGTTCGCAACAAGTAGCTTTACAGCAAGATTTGGCTTGATGTTTATGACTTTACGACTGTGTAACACACTCAGAAGCTTCCAGTCTGCCTAGTGTCAAATTCAGGTACAGATGATGTGCTAGCACCAACCTATGAGTCACATAAAAAAATGTATAACTGCATTTGGATCAGTCTACATTAATCTACAAAATTTATCATTTTGGTTCACATGTAGTTTGTCACTGGCCACCCCAAATTTCCCGTAGCTTTCACCAAACCAAACTGTAGCCATATAAAGTGTATTTTCAATCAAAGCTTCTACGTGAATTGTTAGATATTGCTTTATGCTCATTGTAGTGTTTAGGAAAGTTTAACAACTATTCCATAAATGGATCTCATGTAGCCTTTAGGATTAGCTATTTTTCTGAAAGATCTATGTTGCTGTTTTTCAAGATACATTGAATCCTTAGAGGCATGGAAATTGGACTTCACCCCTAATAATGTTGCCTTACCATCCAGAAACTAAATCTGTGAAGTCCTTGTTGGTTTCCCTTTTGCATGTGCCATAGAAGCAACAAAGGCTTTATATTGCGTTCAGCTGATCTGTCATATGTGCAGCTCATCACAGTCTGCTGTAGTGATTTTTCTCTTGCAGTTCATGTACAACTACCCCAATATATTCTGAAGGGGGCTTCGTCCTATTTTCTTCTGATGCATCCTACTTCAGTAGGGAGGGGGGTTAGACTAGATGATCTCTAGAGGTCCCTTCCAGCCCCTACCGTTCTGTGATTCTATGATTCAGGCTTGTGTAAATGACACAAAGCAAATTGGTGTTCTGATGTGTTGTGGGAAATTGTCAGACAATCGTGAAATCATCATCATGTCGTGATGACGCCCACTATCTTGATCCCAGAGTCAATGATCATTCAGCAGAATTTGAGATGACTTGGGAAATTTTCTTCTAATCTATAAGCAAGGAGGACCAGAGATGTTTACGTCCTTTGTGGCAATGGTCTCCTTGTCTTATTATCTCTCGCTGGTTTGTTTTTCTGTTGTAGCATAGGTTTGGGAGCCCTTATGGGACGTAAGAGCATGGTCTTGTGGCCGTTTCATTCTGTGGTGCAAGCACTATAGTCTCTGGAGGAGTTTGCCTAACCCAAGCGATTGCCGCTTAAACTAATAGGGTAACCTTGTTACTATAATGGACTGTGATATACAACATGTCAGTTTATATGATTTAATAGCCTGTTTGGGCTAAAAGCTCTGTGGAAGTTTAAAGCAGTTTGATATGCTCAAGCCTGCTGGGGATGACTGCTCTTTATTTCCTGGCAGCACTTAAGTTACATCAATTCATGTTATCACATGCCCGATCTGAAAACAGGCATCAGTGTCCATTCATGCCAGCAGCAACATATTTTTAACCAGACAAGAAAACATCAACAATTCAACTCAAAAAACTATTTGGAAAAACCACAAACTAATCAAGAGGATTAATGCAGCACAGATCAGTTAGGGTAAGAAAAGGCTGCAGAGCTCCTCAGAGCAGTTTTATGGTAGGGTAGCTTTATGATACAAGAGGGAGGGAAAGGTGTGGGTGAGACCTAACAGCATTGCTATTGAATTGCAAGTCAAGATGGAAATCCAAACCCAGGAGAGAAGTGTGGTGCCACTTACTGGTTGCCAAGACTTCTAGCACCTAGCTGGGAAAGTTAGTAGTTTTTTGGTATATGATCACTGCTTACTCTCCAAGAGTTCCGTGTTTGCCTTCTGATGTGGAGCTGTCATCTCCAGACCTCCCTGAAGGGAGACAAAGCTGGAAAATCATGTAATTCTAGCAAAGGAGCAGAACAATAGTTTAGCAAATACTGGGCTAGCCAAGGAAGTAGACCCAACTTTGTAACCTCAGACAAGCCATTTTAGTTCCTGTACTCAGTTTCCTATTTATAAAATAAGAATACAATCACTCCACCGTTGCAAGGCTACTTTGGACATGAGTCTGGCGAAGGCTAATGGTTTATAGATGTACTTTTTGGTAAAATTTTGGACATGCTCAAGGGATGGAATTAGGTACATTTTTCTCTTCCCTTGCATCACAGACTCT